AATGATTGGAGAAACTTTTTTGTAGTATTGTTCCTTTTATTGATTGAGTGATTGATTTTATTTTTGTCTTTTATGATTAGAAATATTCAGATATAGTGAGTGTATTGATCCTTGCTGTAATGTTTGAGTAAAATGCTTTGCAAGATGAGAATGTAGAATGGATAGATGTTTGAGCCAAGATCTATGAACTTTCTTTTCCTGATGCACTCCAATTACTCATCCTTTAAGCTTGTTCTTTTGCAATTGCTATTATTACAATATTTTCCATTTGTTTAACTTTTGCTTCTTTTCCTATATCAGACATCCATTTCATTGTGTTTTATTCCAATTTTTCAAAAAACTTTGGTATTTTTCTTGTTTTTAGTGGTTTCAAATTGTCTGCTTTAAGTTTGACTCTTTGTGTCATCATAGACAAGGCTGCCACATCTGGACTGCAAGCAATCAAACAATGGCTAAATAACAATAGCAAATACAAAATTAATCTCTCCTGCCATTTTTTGCAGTCCAAATGTGGAAGCAGTAATGGACATGTTTATATTATCTATATTATATTCTTGGAAATAGTATGGAAGGATTTGCCACCTTCCAGGATATTTTTTTCAACTTTCTACTTTAGCAACATCCCTGATCATTTTTAATGATTTCCTATCAATATTTTCAGATTGGAAAATTAAGAAATCGATCATTGGTATGTGTTTAAATTTCGACAAGTGATTCCCACAATTTTTATATTTTATCCATTTTAACATGGATAAGAGTGTAATATGGTTTTGAAATAAATAAACAATATTTTTTTCAATAGTTGTTTCATTCTTTTCAGCCTGTGCTACATTGAAAATATAGAACAGTGGTGGCAAACCTATGGCACGGGTGCCAGAGGCGGCACTCAGAGCCCTCTCTGTGGGCACACGTGCCGTCGCCCCAGTCCTAGGCCTTCAGCTGGGTTTTATAAAACTTTTTTGCTTTAGGCATCCGCCGCCGTGTGCAAAAACAAAAAAAAGGTTCAATCAATCAATTTCAACTTCTGGCGGGAAAAGAAAAGGTCTTGTAAAGTTGCAATTGATTGATTGAACTTTTTAGTCCCACCCAGTCTGCTGTTACCACTGCAGCCACGCCCACCCAATGGGCCACACCCACCCGGCACTCGACGATGCATAAGTGGGTTTTGGATTGCAGTTTGGGCACTTGGTCTCTAAAAGGTTTGCCATCACTGATATAGAAGATTAATAGCATATGTTCACATTTATGTTTCTCTGGTTCCATGCAAAGGCAGAAGTTCTTCTCACTTGGCTTTGAGAGCAGTTAAGAAAGCAAGTTTGACATTCTTCCAGACATGGAAATACTACGGGGAAAAGATACTATGCCTTCCTGCTCCCTCTATTGGCACTGTATTTCTAGCCCCATGAGTGATAAAAGAAGCACTCCTAGAAAATCTTATAGTTCAAATACACTCCAGCAAAATACATTGCTTACTCCTGCAGGGGAAGAAGCTATATTTTTTTCAAATAACTGAAGAAAGTTAGACAATAGAGTACAATTGGTAAATTTGCCATAGCAGTTATATTAATGGAAAAAGAAAAGACAGGGAAGAGCAGAGAACCAAGCAATCTCCAAGACAATGCCAAGAAAATGGATTTTCCTATGGTGTTTATCTAATATACCCTCGTATTTCTAATCCAAGACAGTTTCCTGATTACAATAAGCGCTTATCTCTGGCATGCCATCAGATAATCAGACCTGGTCTTTCTGTGCGAACAAAGAGATCTATAAAGCTAACTTCTATAACTAGAAGTACACAGACAAAACCTTTTCCTAGCATATAATAATAATAATAATAATAATAATAATAATAATAATAATAATAATAATAATAATAATAATAATAATAATAATAATAATAAAGTTGGAAGGGACCTTGGAGGTCATCTAGTCCAACCCCCTGCTCAGGCAGGAAACCCTATACCATTTCAGACAAATGGCTGTCCAGTCTCTTCTTAAAAACTTTCAGTGTTGGAACATTCACCACTTCTGGAGGCAGGTTGTTCCACTGGTTAATTGTTGTAACTGTCAGGAAGTTTCTCCTTAGTTCTAGGTTGCTTCTCTCCTTGATTAGTTTCCATCCGTTGCTTCTTGTCCTGCCTTCAGGCGCCTTGGAAAATAGCTTGACTCCCTCTTCTTTGTGGCAGCCCCTGAGATATTGAAATACTGCTATCATGTCCCCCCTCGTCCTTCTCTTCATTAAACTAGACATATCCAATTCCAGCAACCGTTCCTTGTATATTTTAGCCTCCAGTCCCCTAATCATCTTTGTTGCTCGTCTCTGTACTCTTTCTAGAGTCTCAACATCTTTTTTACATCGTGGTAACCAAAACTGGATGCAGTATTCCAAGTGTGGCCTTATCAAGGCATTGTAAAGTGGTATTAATACTTCACGTGATCTTGATTCTATCCCTCTGTTAATGCAGCCCAGCATTGTGTTGGCCTTTTTGGCAGCTGCAGCACACTGCTGGCTCATATTTAAGTGATTGTCCACTAGGACTCCGAGGTCCCTCTCACAGTTACTACTATTGAGCAAGGTACCCCCTATACTATACCTGTACATTTGGTTTTCTTGCCTAAATGTAGAACCTTACTTTTTTCACCACTGAATTTCATTTTGTTAGATAGCGCCCAGTGTTCAAGTCTGTCAAGATCCTCCTGTATCCTAAGCCTGTCTTCTGGAGTGTTGGCTATTCCTGCCAGCTTGGTGTCATCTGCAAATTTGATGATTTCCCCATCTATCCCCTTGTCCAAATTGTTGATGAAGATGTTGAAGAGCACTGGGCCCAGAACAGAGCCTTGGGGCACCCCACTACACACTTCCCTCCATGTAGATGCGGTTCCATTGAGGACCACACGCTGAGTACAGTCGGTCAGCCAGCTACGGATCCATCTGGTGGTGATGCTGTCTAACCCACATTTTTCTATCTTATCAAGTAGTAGGTTGTGATCTACTTTATCAAATGCCTTCCAGAATCTTCCCAGTATTGAGGTCAGGCTGATAGGTCTGTAATTTTCTGGGTCCATTTTTTTTCCTTTTTTGAAGATGGGAATTACATCAGCTCTTTTCCAGTCCTTTGGTAGTTTCCCAGTGCTCCAGGATTTTTGAAAAATATAGTTCAATGGTTCTGAGATCACATCTGCCAGTTCCTGGAGAACCCTGGGGTGTAATCCATCTGGTCCTGGTGATTTGAACTCGTCTAGGCTGGACAGGTGCTCACTTACCGTTTTCTTGCCTATCTTAACTTGCGTTTCTATTCTGTTTTTTATGGCACTATTTTTGGTAGGTTGGTCTGTTTTTTCCCTTTGTGTAAAGACAGATGCAAAAAACGAGTTAAATAGTTCTGCTTTCTCCCTGTTGCTTGTCACCTTCTTGCCATTTTCCCCCAATAATGGACCAATCATTTCCTTCACTTTTTTCTTGTTTCTTATATGTTGAAAGAAGCTTTTTTGTTATTTTTGACTTTGGTCGCAAGCCTTAGTTCATTTTGAGCCTTAGCTTTCCTCACTTCAATTTTGCAGGCTCAGGCTATTTGCTGATATTCGGCTTAGTTATGTGCCCCTCTTTCCACTTTTTATACTTGTCCTTTTTATCTTTCAATTTATCAGAGAGTTCTTTATGCAGCCATGCTGGTTTCTTTTGAGAGCTGTTATTTTTCCTCTTTGTTGGTATTGTGCTGGACTGGGCTTTTATTATCTCACTTTTCAAAATTTCCCAAGCTTCTTGAGTTGTTTTCCCCTTGAGGATTCTCATCCATGGAATCCTTCCCAAGCCCTCTCTACGTTTATTGAAATTAGCTCTCTTAAAATCCAAGACTCTGGTTTGACTATGTTCTATTGTTTGTGCTTCCATAATGTTGAATTCCAATATTGCATGATCACTTCCTCCCAAGGTTCCTGTGGCTTCAACAGTTAGTGAGAATTAGATCCAAAATGACTAATCCCCTAGTTCCTTTCTCTACTTTTTGGAAGACAAAATTGTCTGCTAGGTTTGCAAGGAATCTGTTTGATCTTCCACTTGGTACAGAGTTTGTCTTCCTGTTGAAGAAACATATGCAGAGCAAGGAGAGAAAGGGAGGTTACTGTAAACAGCTATTTACCCAGGAAACCGAAATCTTATAGGAAGAAAATATGTACAAAAAGAGGAAAGCAAAATATTGTGTTTTTACTTTGGAACTAAACTAATTGTATTATACAGGTAGTCCTCGACTTTCAACCATTTGTTTAGTTACCATTCAAAGTTACAACGGCACTGAAAAAACTGACTTATGACCATTTTTCACACTTTCAACTGTTGCAGCATTCCCATGGTCACAGATCCTTGGCAACTGGTTCATATTTATGATGGTTGCACTGTCCTGAAGTTATGTGATCCCCTTTTTTGATCTCCTGACAAAGTCAGTGGGGAAGCCAGATACAATGGTTTCATCTTTCACATATACAGCTTCCATAACAAATGCAGGTTGTCTCGATTTCTGTTATTTCGTCCCTCCTTTACAATATGATTTTGGGGTATGAGATATATATGTTCCCCCTTATCAAATTATTCACAGACGATCGTAAAAAAAACGACACATCTTTTGCTTCAATATTGCCTTGTTTACAGGAAGTAAGCAGCATCAGGAAAATAACTGAAAAAGTGGGAATAATATGTTGAATGCAGATATTGGTAACTTGAATTTGACTGTGTAACATATAATTTCAGTCTTGCAGAGGCTGCAAGTTCAGTCTTGTAATTCCTTAGTTTAAACTTTGTTAAAATCATTGTTGTTTAAACCACTGAAAATATACTGGAGTCTAGATACCCAGTTACATATTTTTACTATAATCAAAACAATGAAGATGTTTAGAGACGTAACCATTTTTTATGAGCAGACAGAAGAACTGCCTGCATTTCAGATCCTCCTAAAGAAATTGCAAGGCAACAAACATTAAGTTCTCAGAAGAAGAAACAGCTTTACCTCAGTGCAGAAAGGTGTGAGCTGAGGATGGACCACTGGCTGCACATACATGTGGAAAGTGGATTCAATTTCCATTGTCCTGCCATTCAGCTTCAGGATGGGGAATTCAATTATCTCCTACAAAAAAAAAATACAACATATTAGCCTAATTTAAATAAACAACTAGGCAAAACATTAACAAGTTAAACCACAATTCATGAATCCCTATATAACATGTGATGCCATTAAAGATAAGAATAGTAGCTTGGATTCTAAAAATTCACTCAATAAACAGAATGTTTTGCCTTCTTTATACCATGAGACATTTTAGTACTTCTTTTAAAAAAACTTCATATGATACATTCAGTGGAGTTAAAGACTACAATTGGAAAGATATACAGTAATAGTGATACCACATATAAATTAAACTGCTTTTCTATAGTGATTCACTGAATGATTCTGAGCCATAATATGTAATTTTAAGAATCTCATACTGTATTCAACTATGTTAATTCACCAGCAGAAGAGACATGAGGTAAAAGAGAGGATACTGGAGAGACCTAGAGAGGAAGAAAATAAAACTCTTATACAACCTCACTCAATATTCATCCTACGAAGACGGACAAGTGTCAATTCTAAGATGAACAAATTTAAGAAGGTATCAAAATCATCCACCAGTCGAAAGTATATATTTCTATCATAACATTCATTAGAACTCTGGGCCTTTTTCTTATAAAGTCTCTGTTCTCTGGTTTGCAAAGGTACTAAAATATTGCTGCAGTATATGCAGATATATAAAAAATAAGCATGTAAATGAAAGTAATATTAATTGTAGCAAATAAACTTACTGTAATTATTAATTTATCTAGCATCATCCATTATATAAAACTGTAGACATTTGAGAGGCCCCACCTCTTACAATCTAATACAGCATTTCTTAAACTTTTCTCTCTTAGGACCCTTCCCACATTTAAAAATTACGGAAGATCTCAATATAACTTTTGCTTGCATAGATAATATTTATCAATATGTACAAATAGTCCTTACTTAAAAAACCATTTGAATCAATAACTTGGTTGCTAAACGGAAACTCACACTATCACAAGAGATTACAACCTTACTTCTCCTTTGATCATTAAGTAAAGGCCATAGTCGCTAAGTGAAACATCTTGTGACCGCGACTTATGATTTTACTTCTCTATTACTCTCTTGCTGCGAGATAATTATGAAATATGCAAATTGCAATTATGTCACCACAGGACATTGCAACGACTGCAAAAGCAAGAATAATAGTGACTTTTTTTACACCATCAAAACTTCAAAAGATCACTAAATGAAGCAATTGATAAGCAACGATTACCTTATTAAAAATTAAAATTGATACAATCACTGCCACTTTGTTTCTCAGAATTCTTCCATAGGATTTTAATGCTCTTATTTTTCAACATAGAATGAAAAATACTTTTGATTTTGTGGACTTCCGAAAGGGTCTTGGGGACCCCCCAGGTGTCCTCAGATCACACTTTGAGAAACACTGAACTAAGAAAGACGAAGAGGAGAAACATATGCACATATTTAAAACATACTGATATCATGTCCACTCTGCAACTCTTGAAAAGAAACTCAGAATAAATTTGAGTGTAATGTTCTTCCTACCATTCTTTTTTTGGGGACAAAGTTACCCTGATACAGGAAAAAAAAAATCACAAAATTCAAGTAGTTGAATCATCAAAAATATTTTCAAAAATTATATGGCCTTGTTAGAAGAAGTTTAAACAAATCTAGTTATGATGGGTCTGGCTTCTATTAAAATATACACGTGAAATTAGAGTGGAAAAAAACACCCAAGGAATAAAAACAAAATCCTTTGTCTCTTTCTCCCCACTCCACCTCCTCCCGAGTTTAATGTAAGAGGAGTGACAATTTGTTTGGTGTCTTTAAAGGATAATTTGTCTGTGTTATTTAATAGAGAAACATGATGCTGGGGCTCTAGAGTGCAAATGAGCTTACTGAGTGATAGCCAAGCATCCGGCCTCTCAAATCACTTGTGGAGGGAAGAGAGAATAAAAAAAATTGCTTTTTAATATTCAAAAACAGTTTGCAAAATTTAATCAAAGCAGAGCAAAAGCTAACATTTTTACCACTTTGACATTTTTATTAGTGCTTTCATAAATTTTTAAACATGAATAGAATTAGTTTAAAAACAACAACAAAACTGCCTGAAAACATCTGGAAGAGGAGAAAAAATAAGCTTTAAAAAAGAAAGTCTGCCAAGCAACATTTGCATCTTAAGAATCCAAATCCTACAGAAGAAAGGAATGGATTCACGTTTGGGGTTCTGACCGTATACTGGTCTACAATATAGACCACCACTATACAACAAATAGGTTCAGACACCATCCTTTTTTTAAACCATAGTTTGTTGTCTACAGCCAGGTTCACATAAAACTAAATTATAATGGCTGAATTCACACTATGGACTAAATTATAAACAAACCACACGCAACTTATTGTGTTATGCTCTTTAGCTATATGTTGACCACTGGAACTACGTATATGGGATGGATGGTCTCACTATCAGATAGATTCACAGTAGGTTGAACAATCATACCTAATTCATGAAGCTTAACATATCTATGTCTATATACAGTAAGGCATGAAGTGGGATACATCAGAGTTTTGTCCTGAACCCAGAGCTCTTTAACACTTTTATAAATGACTCCAACAAGGGGATAAAGAGATGGTCAGCAAATTTGCAGACAACACAAAGCAGAAAACTGGCTCAAAGTTCAAAAGGATGTTGATACACTTGAACATTATGTCTTCTTCAATAAAAGATGAGAAATATAGGGTTCAGCACTTAGGGAGAAAAAAAATAGGTGGACAAGTCCAAGGCAGTCATTTTCTGGCTCGTCAGTAGTACTTGTAAAAAGAATCTGGGTATTTTCGTGGACCAGATTACGCATGAGTCAGCAGTGTACTACAGCTGCCAAAAGAACCAATTCTGCTTGGGGCAACATCAACAGAATCCCTAAAAAGGAAAAGAGATTTTGATAGAAGGGGCGTTGTCTTACCTGAACGCCTTTTCTCAGCATGATGATGGAGAAATAAAATATTGTTTGGGAAGTAGGAAAAAAGGCTAAATAAGAAGCCTCCAGTAAAGTGAACAGAATTAAGAATAAACATGATGAAAATATTTTAGATAAAACTAACGAATGTGGGAAAGAATCTCTTGGACATTTATATGGGAATACTAGTGATATGTCAGAGTGAAATTGAAATAAACATTGAACAGTAAATCATAGTGCCCAAGGAAAACCACTGACAAAAGGAAAGGTATAAATGTGCTAATTATGTTTAAAAATGCTATTGTTTCATTATATATGGGAAAACTTTTAAAACTACGAAATGTATTAAATCTGCCTGGGGAGGTACTTGGTGGAATTCTAACAGAAAGGGTACAAGAACTGACAATGAATAAAATTTGGGAACTGCAGAGTTGCTTTATGCCAGGCAGGTGCAGTTTGGGCCAATTTTTTGTTTTTCAGAACAACATTAAAAATGTATGATTACAATAAAGAAAATTTACTGTATACTGCTTAAATTAGAGCAAATGTATAATAAACTCAATAGATATAAATTGTAGGAATATGAAAATGAAGGTCACATATTAAATATTATGCAGGTGGTGGGAAGACTACCTTGATTTAAGAACTTCCATTTACCAATCTTCAACTGTAATGGGCAAAATTCCATTCAGATATGCTTATTATCTGAAATAGTCTAGATGATGCATAACAAAATTCCATCAATGTATGTCTTTACATACCATTCAAATGTACAGTAGCTAAGATGTTGGATGGCATTATGGAAGCTCAGGTTCTAGTTCACTCTTCACCACAGATATTCATTGGGTGATACGGACCACTCACACTTTATATATCCTATCTATTTCATGGGAGAATGAAGTGCTATATATACTAGTGTGACTTCCATATCAAAAGGCAGGAGATAAGTAAGTGAATAAATGTATATCAACTGCATCAGTTTCATATAAAATTATCTAAATTGAAACAAATGGCATGAATTCAGATTTGAGACATTCAGGGGTAACAAATATCCCCTTCCCCCACAAATCAAGATTTTATTGTTCAATGATTACACTCTATGCTATCATATAGATCAGGGGTGGGGAACGATGGCCCTTTTACAACCTGCTGGCTCAGGAATTCTGGGAGTCAAAGTCCAGAGGTCGTAAATGGGTCATTGTTCCCCACATCTGATATAGATAGAATGAATGAGGACTGAATCACAAAACAAATATACAGGTTGTCCTCGACTTATGACTACAATTGAGCCCAAAAATTCTGTTGCTAAGCAAAACAGTTGCTAAGTGAGTTTTTCCCCAACTTGCCACAGTTGTTAAGTGAATCACTGCAGCTGTTAAATTAGTAACAAAACTGTAAAGCAAATCAGGACCCAGATTGTTGGGGACAATATGCTGACTCTGTAAACTGCTTAGAGAGGGCTGTAAAGCACTGTGAAGCGGAGATAAGTCTAAGGGCTATTGCTATTGCTATCACATAACCATGGGGACGCTGCAATAGCCATAAGTGTGAAAAACAGTCCTAAGTCACTTTTATCAGTGCTATGTAACTTTGAATGATCATTAAATAAACTGCTCTAAGTCAAGGACTTCCTGTATAAAGAAGAGTGGACTGATCAAGAGAAAGGAAAAGGCAGAAAATCATGGATGAATAGAGAGGATAAAATACTCAAACAGGAATACTGAGAAGTTTTAAGAATAAAATATAAATTAATGACTGTGTATCCTATAAGGCTATATAGGTAATCCTCAGTTATGACAGTTCACTTAGTGACCATTCAAAGTTAAACATAACCCCTCCCCAAGTACTTACGACACAGTCCCGAAGTTACAAATGTTGCAGACCATGGTAGTTGTTCACCCTTACGAACGACCGCAGAGGCACTGCAATATTTGCTCTGCCTATCCTCCTCCCCGCTGGGTCTCCACAGGCACTGGGCCTGTGGATATTCACCTTGCAAAGATCTATTGAGCCTTCAGTTTCTTGGCCTGTTTCAGTGCTTCAGGCCTTCGGTGCGTTTGCAGAGAATGG